TTAATGCGGCGGCCTCCAAACTTTGGCAATCTGCATGTTTTATTGTCGCGGGTGAAGAGGGGACACAGTCCGACACCCCCCCCCCTCGCACACACGAGCCAATAACTTGATCATCCGATGTGTTTTCATATGAAAGTAAAAGTATATTTTAATTAAATATCGTCCATCATATTCATATTCATATTCAAACATCTTTATTCGTAAATCATGTACATTGGTGGTACAGTGAATAGTGTCAGAATACTTAAAATAAAAATACTATTTCTATTTATGGGAGGTGGAAAATTCATCAAAAGAATATAATGCTAGATTTATTATATGCTCCTTTAGAATGTCCTTGAATTTAGATAGGTTCGTTTCTTTTTTTATGAATTCAGGGACAAATTTTAGAAAATCGGTACCAGCATGTGAGGGTTTTTTCAAAAAATTTTAATTTGTGAGGCTGGACCCTTCTCCCCCTAAAAGTATAAGAATGCACTGAACTTATTACTTGCTCAGATTCATTTTTTTTGGCGATAAGAATTGTTTCATATATATATAGCCCATAAACTGTAAAAATTTGTAATTTCCTAAAATGTTCTTTTGCCGAATCATCTCGTTTAAGCTTAAGCATAATTCTGATAGTTTCTTCTTGTCGCTTCAGAATACTATCCATATTTATATTATTCCATATTATTTGTTTTTCTATTTTATTTAAAACGCTGACCTTTTGGTGCCCTCATATTGTGCATTACGGATTTAATTCGTGAATAATAAACCCCGTAATTTGTTTATATGGTTCATAAAAATAGTTTAAATCACGAGCAACTAAATTAGTAAAGATTTAAAAAAATCCGAACTCTAATGATGAAGTATTCAAGTTTATTAATCATTGTCATACTATAATTGCGGTCGTCATTTGTCTTGCTTATTAAAAAAAAAACTATTTTAATATCAACGTATTATTTTTTTACGGATAAATGAATAACTAGTGTACCTGTTGTTCGAATTCGAGAAATTGCTAAGTATTACATGCGTTATTTTAAAACTAATAACAGTCACAAGTCACTCAAGATGTACATAACATATCGATATAATCAACATTTCTTGTAAATATCTGATCATTTTTCATAAGGTGACATTCTTAGCTGGTCGTTTTTTTTTTAGTGTTTCCTATAAATAGCCTTACTCATAATAACGATTATAAATTCCAAAAAAAAACATTATTTCTATTTCTTCTCCTTGGTATTGGTGGTGTTCTATGACTTTGCTATGTTTCCATAGTTTGCAAATCGGCTCGTTCAATGATAACTAAGAAATGTAGCACAGTGTTAATTCAGTTTTCTTATATCAAACTATCCAGGCTCTCTCGCTTTTTTTACATTGTAATATTTACGCCAACCCAAATTCAAATACCGTAGTAAATATTTCATTTCAACCAAGTAAGTAAATGTTTGTAGCAAACTGTTAAATTACCAAAAAATGTTATAGCTGAAGTTTCATAACAATGTTTGTTTCCCACGTTAATCTTATGGAGAAATGCGAAAATTTAAAGGGCCCGAGGGCCTAACTCTCTAATTATTTCCCTAAAAAGAAAGTTTCCTGCACATCTTCAAGTTACGCTCTTTCCAATGACACCAAAAACATGTCAATCGGTTCAGTAGTTTCGGAGGAGTAATTGTCACAAAAAACCTGCTTGCGTATTAAATAAGTAATAATATATTAAAGTTGAGGTTATCAATAAACCATGGAGGGGTAATGTTGCTGTTTTATCTCACACACACACACACACACACGCACCGATGTTTACTGATATACAGTAATACACAATTAGCCTCCGAGTCCCTGAGTCGACCGGAATATGTACAGTGCCTGCTCTTGTAATGACGACACAAAACATGGGTACTAAATAATGGGTACACAAATAATCAGGCCGGAGTAGGGAAAAGTACAATCCATTAAAGTAACATTTGTACACTTGATCAGATATCTTCATATTTTCTGGTGGTTAGTTCCGAGTGAGCTATTGGTAAAAAATGGAGCTTTATAAGTAAACATTTGAACAGTTATAAAACAGAGTAAAATCTCAAGTTGGTAGCCCGCCCGGCAAATGACAAGTATGCAAATAACGTTGTGGAGCAGAACGCTGTGCGGTTAGTTCATTAATTGGAGACCCAGGGCGCCACAGCGCTGCCTAATTTGTTCCCGCCCCTCAAATACCGAGCACTTATTGTTTTAAAACCTGCTCTGTTTAACAACTTGTTTATTGACTAAACTAATACCTCGGATTTTGTGTTACATTTTAGCTACTGTTACTTATGGTTATGGCTCTATATATGGGTTTTATGTCAATTTGAATTTTAAAATCCTCCTAGTTACGCACTTAAGTTATGCTTTGTGCAAGTTACAAATTCGTTTGACTACTATATATTTGCTACCAGTAGTATGTGTAGTATATAGGTACCTATGTACCGGGTTTACATCAGGTGTCGTACAATTAACACTAGGTATTGAATCTCCTCTGTGCCCCAGAAACGGTTTAGGTTTATGTTGTTTCAAGGTGTACTTCTTGTTACTGATTAACAAAACAACCAACCTTTTCATGCGAACAATATCACAATTTACTGTGTAACCTTTTATTATTAACTATTTGCTAAACTTTAATTAGCAAAGGTTAAAATCGTATCCTTAATTAATGTATTGCTGTTATGTGTACGATGTGTGTTATTTTTTTCTCTTCAATCGTATTTCCACATTCATATGAAATATAAAAATATTTAGTAAAGAAAGAAAGAGCGTTTCTTACCCTTGTCTTAATTTCACTACTTAAGCCTTTTAATATAGATCACATTAATTCTTTAGACGTGAAATTTAATAGTATTTACCACACTGCCCAAAGAACACAGCAATTAATACCTGTTGTTGCCCACAATGTGTAACTTTTTTTCATTATCACACACTTGTTTAACTATAAACGTTAATAGTTCTCGACCAAGATGATAATTTTACTGTAATTTAACTTAATGCTTTGAAACAATATTTTTACTTGAAGAAGTTTGAAATTGCAATTTCAGTACTAAGCAAAGATTCAGATTGATAATTGTCCAGTAAAATAAGTTAAGGCGGTAAACTTTGCACCGAGCGTTAACTTCCAACTTAGTTTCTTGCTTTCGATAGCAAGTTTCGAGTCGAAAAACAACAGATTTTTCTAGAATTCTTGTTAAAGCATCTTGAGAAAGGAGAGCCTAGCTATGTAGGTGGCTGGTGGAGTGGTGGGGGAAGGTACAGTAAAACGTTGTGTAATTAGTCCATGTCCGGCTGTCTGTCTGTAGTTGCCTTGGTAACGGCCTGTCCCGCCCCGTAACCCAGTGCCAAAACTCAAACTCCAATCCTCCCCACCCCCCGCCATCCCCGCCGGCTCTTATTGATCCCGGGACACACTTCACCCCTCGCCCTCAGCTGTATAAAATACTAACTTGTAAACTCGCTAACCCATCACGAGTTGTTTGTCTGTTTACTGTTTGCGATTTATACATCATGATCCACCACACCTCTTTCATTTCTCGTGTCTTGTATGATTGATACAGTACATATTTGTCTCTCTTTTATTCGCCAATCATCATAAATTTTATACTGCTTTTGACATTGACAGTAACTTTTGTTTTCGTATATGTTTTATTATTTTATTTGTAGTTGCACTCATAAAAACACCTACTTTGTTTTGCAATAATTTATTGTATTAGTTTTTTGTTCGTATAAACTTAATTTTACCCTGTATTTGACTTTTTATTAAAATTAAAATATATATCATTAACGCCCCAGCCTCATTTAATTGTCTAGTTAAAGAAATCGCCTGTAACAAAGACCATCTGACTACTAACAGTGGAACCTTGATAACAAGACCCTCGATAATAAGTCATCCCTTATAAAAAGTGTCATTTTCAAATCAACTTGATTTTGGCGAATTTCCCATATAGGGAATAAGCTATTACCGTAATACTCATGGTAAGACCTGGACACGGGACCGATTTTTTTGTTTTGAGGTCCCTAGAGGCCATAAATACCATCCGTTCAAATTCATATAAATATATATATGTGTGTCTGTTAGCACGATAACTCGAACAAAAATGATCCGATTTTGATGAAATTTGGTATAAACGTGTAAAACTACATTTATTCTCGCGAACCAGCATGATCGGACTATGGGAACGGGGTTTTATGGGGTAAAAATAGGTTTTTTCCATTTTTGACCCTAAAACCACAAAATTTCACAATTTCTTCCCAAACCATTTTGGAGAGCTTAAAAAAAATAATTTAGTATATTGAAGCGTTATTGTGCGCCTAATGGTTGCGGAGAAAGTTCCAAAAAATTTTAAATTTAAAATTCCCATGTTATTCTTATGGAGAATAAGTCAACTGTTTGCTTGTTTCTGATTATATTTTGATCAAATTTGGGAAATGTTTATTTCTTACTAACTCTTAACATTTTACAAAAAAAAACAAACTATTTTACCCTCCCTGAGCAAACCTAAGTACTTCATTAAACTAATTATATTTAAATAAGGAATAAATGTTTTATTTTTAAGTAGACATTTTAGTGTAAATTTAATCAGGCAAATGGAAATTCGCTTAGTATGCAGGTTTGCTGCGGCGGGGGTATTTATCTTACCCCTAATCACATGTTATTGTAAACCTCGATAAGAAGTCTTATTTAATAATCCCCATGAGAGTCTTGTTATCGAGGTTCTACTGTATTATGTATTGTATTGGTGAAATGGTTGCAAATTATAATCAAAGAATTTAAACCAGCAACATAGTAACCCAAACGAAATTTAGATTTCCTTTAACCTGTTAGAGTTTTTACAGCACTAACATCTCACACGTATTATAAAATCTTATTCCTCATAGCATAGCATAGGGGTGTTGAAATTAGATATTATTTTACCCATAAATCACATTTGAGAGAAGCTGTTCAGGGTACAGTAGGCTACTGTATTGTGATATTGGCTTGTATGTTTCAGGGTGCGGGATGGTGGCGGCCGCGAGTGATGCGTGCTAGTGTTGTGCGTGTGTGAGTGTGGACCATGGACAAACGCAAGATGATGCCTAAGAGGCCGCGTATGGACAACCTGAGAGGACCGATCGCCAATGGTCCCATGCAGACGAGACCACTGGTGGCGCTGCTGGACGGCCGCGACTGCAGCATAGAGATGCCTATACTCAAGGATGTAGCAACTGTCGCCTTCTGTGACGCTCAGTCTACCTCAGAGATACATGAAAAAGTAAGTAACATCACACACTGTAGCTAAAAGGACCAGAATTTGGGCTATAGAATCCCTTGGTCCTGCAAGAAAACCTAATAAAAGATAAATACCCCCGCCGCAGCAAACCTGCAGACTAAGCGAATTTCCATTTGACTGATTTGGATTTACACTGAAATGTCTACTTAAAAATATAACATTTATTCCCTATTTAAATAGAATTAGTTTAACAAGTACTTAGGTTTGCTGCATCAGGGAGGGTAAAACAGTTTTTTTTTTTTGTAAAATCTTAATAGTTAGTAAGAAATAAAAACATTTTCCAAATTTGATCAAAATATGTTCATAAACAAGAAAACTACAACAGTTTACTTATTCTCCATAAGAATAACATGGGAATTTTAAATTAACAATTTTTTGGAATTTTCTCCGTAACCATTAGGCGCATAGTAACGCTTCGATATACTAAATTATTTGTTTTTTAAGCTCTAAAAAATTAATTGAAAAGAAATTGCTAAATTTTATGTTTTTTAGGTCAAAAATGGGAAAAACCTATTTTTACCTCATAAAACCCCCCGTAAACCCCCGTTCGTATGCTCCGATCATGCTGGATTGCGAACTCGTTCAAATAAACGTAGGTTTACACGTATGTAACAAATTTCATCAAAATCGGATCATTTTTGCTCGAGTTATCGTGCTAACGGACACATATATATACTAGCTGTACCCGCGGGCTTTGCCCCGTTTAACTTCATATGTGAGCTCGTTCGCATGGCTCAATCACGTCCTGGTTGAAGTTTGTTCGCTACGCTCACTCACTTTTGGTTTAATATTAGCTGTTGTAAAATATAAAAAAAATAGTGCTGCACTCTGTTGGTAATCCTTGTAACTTTAATGCTATTTAACATCATAGAACAGAACAACTTGTTTAATTGAAACAGCTGTTAAGATTCATTAATTCCATTTAAATATGAGTACTCATTAGGTTAACATGGGAAACTCCAGAGCCACTGGGGCGGAGCCCGAGAGTCCGATCAGAATAAAAACCACTTAGTTTTCCTATTTAATGCCTAAAGAATCAGTGTACCAAATTTCAGCCTTCTAGGTAAGTGGGAAGTGGGAGAATTAGTGATGAGTGAGTCAGTCAATCAGTGAGGGCTTTGCCTTTTATATATATAGATATATGAATTTGAACGGATGGTGTTTTTGGCCTCTAGGGACCTCAAAACGAAAAAAAAATCGGTCCCGCGTCCAGGTCTTACCATGAGTACTACGGTAATAGCTTATTCCCTATATGGGAAATTCGCTAAAAAATGAATTGAATTTAAAAAATCACATTCACATTACTTAATGGTTTAAAGCTGGAATTAGTGAAAAAATTTAATATGCAATTTAAGTCAGGGATTTACCAATAATTCAAAATCATAAAAAAAACTTAACATTCTGTATATTGAGTTACTAATGGGCTCTAAATTAAAAAGTCCATGTTCATTCACTCTTTAAACATTTGTTTCCTAGTTTTCCCGTTTGTAAAACCATTGTCAAAGGTAGAACTTAAACTGGGAAAGGACTGAATTTTCTGCTGTTCAGTATATTCTTTGGTTTATAGATGGATGTAACCATAAATAAACCAAGTCCTTTACACCATTGAGTGTTTAAACCCAAGCAGATCCATATCACCCTAGGTTATTTCTACTGTTAACCTTTTTTTGTAAAACTGCTTACCTATCTATATAATTAATACGCTACATGAAACTTTGTCGGTTGAACTCCTCCGCCATTTCTTAACCGATTTTATCCATTGACGTCTCATTGGAAAGAGCGTGTCGCGTAGATTTGCAAACTGGCCTTACATTTTTGAAAAAGTCCCTTGGGCTCAGCCCCAGTGGCTTTGAAAGTTCCCATGTTATCCTTATGAAGAACACAATTGTTTACATTTTGATCAGCTGTATAATTTAATTGCTGTTATTTATTTTTCAATTTAATGAAACGCATTGAGTACATTTATTTACCAATTGAGTTTGTGTAAACATAACCCCCAAGACGGATCGTGTTAGTATGGTTGTATCTTAAATTTGTGTATTTATCGTTGTTTTGTGTCGCTATGACGGATCGTGTTAGTATGATTGTAACTTAAATTTGTGCGTTTATCATTGTTTTGTGTAGCTATAATTTGTTTATTTATTGTTTTTTTTTTCTCTTTTAAATGCCTCCGACGCGACGACAACGAAACATAGATTGGAGGCGTAATCGTGATAACGTCCGCAGCTACAGAACAGTGGCGCGTTTTGACCCTGGACAATCTCAACTATTAGGTTACAAATGCGCCCTAACACTGCCCCAAAACAACTTTTCGTTCTCAATTGGCCCTCTCTATCAATGGCCTGTATTGCCTGTACGGAGAGTTATTTTGAGAAGGAGAAAACCGGCCGGAATGCTTTAGGTTTATCAATAACGAAGATAAACATGGTCTGAGTTACACATCGGTAAATCTTTGAGTTGACTCTTTTAAGCTCATTGTAAATATGACTGTTATTCGTTTTGAAACTCCTGTAATACTCTGCAATTGTTCGAATTCGAGCAACATGTACACTAGTTTTAATAATATGGATACTTGTTTGGCTAGCGATCAGTTTTGTTAGAAGTTATTGATTTTGACTATTTTTGATAGTGAACAGGAATATCACATTTTGTTTTATTCTTTTTTATTGAGATAAAACCAATTAAATTTATATCAATTTCGCTGAAATAAATTAAACAAAAGTGTTAATGAAAATTTAACAATTAATTTAAGAATTGTGGTCTATTCTACAGTCCATGAAGAACATTTTAGGTAAATTACAGTAGGCCTACAGTACAGTAGTTAATTGAGAACAAGAATTTAAAAGTGGTGTTTTAGGAAAACATTAAATTGGTATTGTTTTCTTTATTTGAGTTTCTTATTGAAATTAAAACTCTTCAACTGAACAAAGAATTAATGAATTTTAAAACTTTGTTATAAAGTATTTCACTTTGAATCATAATTGAATCATTTTATCCTGACTTAGCGTAAACTCGCCATCTCAAACTTAAAATTAATCAAAGTTATGAGATGAAACTTTTGTTAAACCATTCTTAGTATTCTTAAGAAGATTCTCTTTAATTGAGTTGTGTAATATATTAAATTAACAACAGTATATTGAGGTATAGTTTATAGGTATCACATACACTATAAAACATACACTATTCTTAAACACTATTTTAAACATAGGACCCGCAATATTTACTAGAAATCTTTCAAGATTAATAAAAATCCTATAAATGAATAAACATCATTTTTGTTTATAAATCTTTGTGAACATATAAGTTGAGGTTTTTGATCAATACCCTGAATTCATCCTGAATTCAGAATACCTGTCAAAAAATGAGACTTTTTTAAGCGAGAAAATTTAAGAGGTATATACTATATATACCTTTTCCTACCTTTACCTATATGTACCTTTTCCTTCTTTTCCTATTTCCTTTTCCCATTTCCTCTCCTTACATGTTTGCTCACACTTTGGTTAGCTAAAATGTGTTATTTAAAAGTTCTATAGGCTATTGTTAATAAAGAAAAAAGTAAAATTTAAATCCTACTTAACTAAGTTCAAGTATTTAATCTAAATTAAAATAGTTATTAACGAAGAATGACCAAATTCCCCTAAAGAAGAATGGCCAAATTCCCATATAAGTGAATATCAAGATTCAACCACAATATAAAATGTTATTTCATGAGCAACAATGTAGCTATAGTTGTCACAACCGCCATAGCTACTGAATAGAAGGCAGAAGCAATGAACAAGTTATTCTCTAACTGTGATTCCCATCAGAACTAAACTTATTAACTTCCCTCGTGTAATTACAGTTTGAGTTTGGAGCTAACTTGTCGAATCAGCTTGTGGCAAATCATACAAAAAGTAAACTTAGCTTCTGCAAGTTGGAAGGCACATTAAAACTTACCTTCAGTATTCTAACCTCCAGGGTTATTGTGTTATTCTGTTTCACAACTTTAAATCTTCAAGCACTTACTTTCTATTTATCTGTTAAAATACACTTTTACTTTTAAAATTATATTTCAAATATGGATTCCTGATACTGTATCCAATTGAAAATTAGTTTTTTCTTAAAATAGTTGTTTTAAAATGATGGCTATTTTAATGGTTTTATTGTATTTTTCCGTATAAATTAAACTAATCTCTGGTAGCTAAACTACACCACTAGTAATTGCTTTCAATTGTTGTTTTGGTGGTAATTCAATTCAAATCTACTAGTAGAACCCCGTCAAAATCGACGGTTAACCTTGAGGTTTTATGTAAATTCAGCTAACTGCGATAGATAGAGTGAAGTCATTAAAATCTTAGTTAAATGAAGGGAGGATATGACGATTGTGTCCCCTAAAAAACGTGATTGATGAACTCGTTTAACACAATATTTCCTACCTTTTTATCGGCTTTAGGTTGCCCAAAAGGTTTTTTAGGACTCTTATAATTGTTTGTTCATGAGTTTGTTTCATGTCAAAGCCACTTTCACTATATGCGAGAATGAGTTCATATAGTATCATGTTAAGGAAAGAGTCAATATTTATTACTAACAACTAATTCAATCTGCTTTAGGAAAATCATTCAGATTGTATCCGGATTTATAAGTAAATCTTCATCTTTGGTCATAAAAATACAGAATTTTATCAGCATATTAAATCAGTTTTTTTGTATTTGATAAATATATTTGATTCTCTAGAAAGCAGTAAGATTCTTACTTCGATCTAAGCAATTTTAATTCCTTCTCTTGCCACATCGACCCATGTATTTAATCATCCTGTTCTTACTTGATAATTCATTAACTTATGGGATAGTTTTGCCTTGGCCAGATCGATAACATAAAGCTGTGCATGTATTTCGTGGATGGAATGAACCATAATTGTAGGAAATTTGATCACAAATCTTGATCATTTGCGGAACCAAATCCATGACCTAGTCCAGCCTTGGTAACAAATTATGCAAATGCGA